CTATGTAAACACGGAAAAAGTTTTCTATTGCTTAAATGGTAAACATTCTATTAGGTTTTTGGGGCCACAACTTTGGTTGAAGCTTGATATGGATCTAAGATTGTCGATTGGTAAAAACTCTTTCAAAATAAATTATTATTATCATCATGATGAGGAGGAGGGGGATGAGGATGTTCAGCCCTATGAAGTGAAAGGAAAAACAAGCTCTGCTTGCAGGGTTAACAAGACTTTTTTCGTGTGAGTTGAGAGTTGTGTGCATAGAATATTGAATAAAGTGGTAGTGCGTGCGAGCGAAAAGTGTCCCCAATTAGTGCGAAAGCGAGATTTTTTTTATTTTTTATTTTTCTAATGGTATGTCAGTTAATATGTCAGTCTCAGGTCTTGGGAAAAGACCCGACTAATACTTTTACCAGGAAAAAAACTTGTATTATATCTGATTATCCTGAGGTTGGAATAAATTAATAATGATAACAATGATGTTTTTTTCTTATATAGCGCCTCTTCCATAAAAGATAACCTTATGCCTTATCTGAATCAACAGGCTCAATGATTGAAATGGGTTTTCTCGTGTATTTATATGCATAACACATGGTGGATGACGTCATGATGCATTTCGATATTCGTGCGCACTTTAGCTACTTTACCTTTATCATCCCCTCCATAAGATACCACCACCCCTCTCCCCTGAGAAAGGAAATGAACGGTCCCGGATCCTTAATCCTCATCTCTTCAAGTTAAAAGAATGCCTTTTAATCTATTAAACAATTCCCAAGATATTTTTTGTACCACAATGTTTTTCCATGTAAACCTTGACCTGATTTTGGAGCCGAACCGGGATGTTTGGTTCTTTCACAATTTGGCGCATGCGCATACATTTCCAACTTCTGATTGGCAACCGGTTGTGTTTGGTTCACTAATCCTTTTCTTTTAAATATCTTGTTATTTTGGTTGATTTTCCTGCACAGACAGACTGTTTTCTGGTCAACTGATACGTGAGGTAAGGCAGGAATGATGTATTGTGTTTCTTAGTGGATATTCAGTGCTGTTTGTAGGATCAAAGTGCTGCTGAGTACTCCAGATCACTCGAGTCATCCCGGAGTAGTCAATCGATAAAAATCGATACAAATCAGCTGATTTGTATTGATTTTTATGGGAAATCGTTTAAAATCGATAAAAAAAATTGGTGTGAGTTCGATTTTTATCGATTTAATCGATTTTTATCGATCAAGATTTGACAGCTTTAATTTGATCCAATAATGAGTACAATCATAAAATCAGCTTTATTTCACGGAAAGTATTCGAAAATATCGATGATAGTGCAATAGATTTTATAACTATTAATTCACAAGTAATTATATGTAGATCAGGCAGCTAATTATCCAA